CAAGTGCAATGCTCTCACCATGACACCGCAGCAGCACCCCCTGAAGTGCAGTGGACAAACTGCACACCAGGAGGCAATGACACTGCGGTACATATGAATTGTCATTAACTCATGACGATGTGGGTTAACGGTGGCTTGGAGATGTTAACTGCCTCGCCTGGTATACAGGAGGTCGTGGGTTCGATACCGACCCTGACGCCTGCTGCTGTATATTGGGCGTTTGTGTGTCTCTCTCTTTCTCATCATCACGGTGGCTAGGAGATGTTAACTCCCTCGCCTGGTATACAGGAGGTCGTGGGTTCGATGCCGACGCTGATTCCTGCTGTATGTTTGGCATTTGTGTGTTTCTCTCTCTCATCATCATCACGGTGGCTAGGAGATGTTAACTACCTCGCCTGGTATACAGGAGGTCGTGGGTTCGATACCGACCCTGACGCCTGCTGTATATTTGGCGTTTGTGTATCTCTCTCTTTCTCATCATCACGGTGGCTAGGAGATGTTAACTCCCTCGCCTGGTATACAGGAGGTCGTGGGTTTGATACCGACGCTGATTCCTGCTGTATATTTGGCGTTTGTGGTAAAATAAAATAAAAAGAGTTTAGTTGAATGTGCGTTATATACATTGGCAGGAAGGTGGCAGTTTGGAATCCCCTGCACCCTGCCATGCTGCAGGGCACTTTCACACAAGCATGGCATGCGTCGTAAAGTGGTCGCACTAAATATGTCTGCACGTGAATTTACGTAATCAACAAAAGTCAAAACGTAGATCCACTTCGTGAAAGTCTCTTGTCCCAGGGGTTTCCTGTCAAGTGGCTCAGCGGTAGATTGGTGATCGGCCCACAATCCGTGAAGGTCGTGAGTTCCAATCCAGGTTCTGGCGATTGACCCAGCCCATCATCCCTCTCGGGGGGAGGTCGGTAAATAAGTACCACTCTGTGGGGAAGTCAAAAGCAGTCGATTCACTGCACAGCAGGAATGGCGAATTTCCACTGCTGGCTCAAGGCTATAAACGGGAGACGGGGGGAGACTTCTTGAATGCTAATTTGAGTAGGACATCAATTTGCCTTTTGAGTGGGAGGCAATGAGGAGACGTAAACAATAACACATCCTCCTTCGTGGACTTGTTGGGGGGAGGGGGGTAAGAAGCCCCTATATTGAGATTGGAGGGTCTATCCGTCAACGAACTAGAAAAAAAGGGAAATTAACAAATAACACTTTCTAACACAATTTTTGTTCCTGGGTAGTAAGTGTTATTTTTTACTTGCTTATGCCTCAAAAGTATAGAAAATTGCTATTCTTCCCTACAAACTTTGCTTTTGTGACTTTACGTGAATGAAAGGCACAAATGCACAAGTGTTCTCATTGCAAATAGGTACATTTCAAAAGATCACTGTCCTGGTCACAAAAGCAAAGTTTGTGGGGAATAATAGCCATTTTTCTGTACTTTTGAGGCATGCGCAATTAGGAATTACACTGTGTAACGAAACTATTTTTAGATTTAAAGCTTTCGTGACTGCAGGGATTCATCTTCTTGGTTCTTTCGGTAAAGTCACGTAGAAAGGAAATAATAAAATAATAGAAATAAAACATAATAAAATACAATTCTCACGACGTTTCGGCCACAACGCAAGCAGCCGTCCTCAGGTGAAGAACAGGTCTGTCGGAAAGACAGCGTCTGAATGAGCACCACCAAGCTTGGCAGCGTATATTTAAGCTGGATTAGAGGGGGAAGGGCGCCTTGACAAAGGAATTTACATATCAAGATGAATTTAGCATATTTATGGAAATGTATATTTATGGAAATACCAAGAAGATGAAACTATTTTTTTCGTTTCGTTACACAGTGCAATTAACGTGAATGGTATCTTGAAAGTGGATGTGGGTGGGTGGCTGCGGGGTCAGAGTCGGCATCGTTGAGATCCAGGACTCAAAACTGCTCGTGATTAAACGGCGTTCTGCCAATGCAGGGAGCTGATGGTTCAGCAGCTTCTCTCAGATCCTGCTTTGGAATCCGGTCATTGATAGTTCCGGTCCAGTTACCAACGACCGCACACCAGAGGTCGCAATCGGGTACCCGATACCCGTACCCTACCCGATACCCGGCTACCCGTACCCGGCCGGGTATTGGGTAGGGTACGGGTACCGGTTTGCGACCCTGGTGCGGCCGGGTACGGGTACGGGTAAGGAATCAAAACCCGTTTGCGACCTCTGCCGCACACACACATAAAAACAAACAGACTATCATATTAAACGTCTTTTTTTTCTTCACTTAACTATCGTTTTCGCTTAATTTGACAAAATTATACTTCTTTGAGATAAAAAAAGAGGAAGGTTGATTGGCAAAGGACCTTCAAGGGTATTTTTTTTTAACTCGGGTGTGGACGAAGGGGCCGATTGGCAGTGATTTCGGAAATAGTTCTGTGACCTCATCTTCCGGACATGTTCTCTGGCACAGGGTGATGCACTGCTCTCTCTCTCTCTCTCACACGCTCTCTCTCTATCTCTCTGAGAATTCTGAGCGGAAATGTCTTCAGCTCACCACGAGACGCCAAAGGGACAATTTCAATAGAATCGGGGGAAAGGGGACAGAGCATCAGGACGATTTCGCGGCGAATGAGTTTGCACATTTTTCAAGCAACAACGTCAAACTGCCCATTGCAACTAAGTGGCAGCGGCTAATGATGCATGCATCGTGACGTTGCTGACTCAGCGATGTAACTATGAGGAACATTGCATAATTTAGCACGTAGACGCTCTGTGGGGAAGATACGCACTTACGTAAGTACTGCAGAACGTTTGTAAGATGGAAAATATTTGGTGATGTGATGATGATCAATAATGGCCATTATGATATGAGTATGTGATTTCAATGATTACAGTATCATGATGATGATGATGCTGACGATGATAACAACATGAATGACGATATTGGTGATTGTGATGTTGTTGGTGGTGGTGATAATGATGATGATCATATCGATGATGATGATACGATGTGTACATGTTGACCTCACTTCACCACGCTGGCCATGGCGGGTTGATCCAGGCGGGAGAGAATAAATATGGGAATCATAGAAGTACATTACAACAATGGTCTGTGCTCCTGCTTCTGCTGCCGCATAGAAATCGAGTAAGTCGTTCAATGTGCAACACGACGGACTGACAATCGTGAGATAAATTCGGAACACCACTGATGATACCGGCATTCCATTGGGCTATTATGCCCAACACTGCAACTGCTTTAAGCACTCAGCTATGCAGTACTGCAATACACTGCAGACACGCGCGCGCACACACACACACACTTTGGAGTCTGCGAGCACACACACACACGCTGACATCGTCTCATACCGACACTGCTGTAATTTTACGCGCAATGCAAATGTAAGAGTGCATTTGAAAACACGACGACACAAAAGCATCCTTCATCTCGTCTTATAAATAGACCGTAAGGGGGGGTGGGGGGGGCGCCAAGCGCTGCTAACTGTGTACCTATTAAAGGCAGAACATTTCACACGTACAGACACACACACTCACACACGCACGTACAGACACACACACGCACACGCACGTACAGACACACACACACTCACACGCACGTACAGACACACACACTCACACACGCACGTACAGACACACACACTCACACACGCACGTACAGACACACACACTCACACGCACGTACAGACACACACACACTCACACGCACGTACAGACACACACACACTCACACACGCACGTACAGACACACACACACTCACACGCACGTACAGACACACACACACTCACACGCACGCGCACGTACAGACACACACACTCACGCACGCGCACGTACAGACACACACACTCACACGCACGCACATGTACAGACACACACACACTCACACGTACAGACACACACACGCACACGCACGTACAGACACACACACACACGCGCACGTACACACACACACACTCACACGCACGCGCACGTACAGACACACACACTCACACGTACAAACACACACTCACACACACACGCGCGCACGTACACAGACACACACGCGCACACGTACAGACACACACGCACACGCGCACGTAGAGACAAACACACACTCACGCACGCGCACGTACAGACACACACACACTCACACGTACAGACACACACTCACACGTACAAACACACACACACTCACACACGCACAGACACACACTCGCACGCACGCGCACACTGACACTCTGCGCTTGTTTGCAGCGGCATGCTGCAGTGGCGACTCACGCCACAGTCCCGCCACGCGAGGCAGTCGGGCTGCTGCAGTAACGGAGAGGCACGAGAATCAGCGCCACCACTCATTGGCACCGTCGCAGAAGTCACTGAGAGCCGGCCACGAACATCTCCACCCGAGTCAGTCGTTCGACGGACCCGAGTCAGTCGTTCGAGACGATTGTTGCGAGAGTCATCGAGTCCCTAAACGTACAGCTCTCGTTCGAGTCGTGGTTACGAAAAACGCATGGTCGCTGGGAGCTCACAGTCACGAGAGAAAGAAAAAAAACACAAGAGCCGGTCGTCAATCAATGCACGGCGAGAGAGTCGTTCGGTCGTTCGGCCGGTCGTTTGAATCGGTCATTAAAACGCCCCCGCCACGAAAGTCGCGTCCCCTCGAGTCGTAGTCACGGGGTCCTCTGGCATCGCTGGGCACCGCTGCCACGGGGTGGCTGGCAAAACAGTCACGACATTGACCGCTGTCACGGAAACTCCGAGAGGTCAACGGGGAACGGTGGCACGGTCACGCGACCCCGGGACGCTGGGCCAGGGTGGCGTCAAAAAAATAAAAAAAAGAGAAATTTCACAAAACATTTTTCACAAACAAAACAACCCAAAAAAAATCCCAGCAGGTCACGGACGAAACACTCTGCCGGTCGCGGGATGGAACACCGCAAAGAGTCACGAGTCGGCGTTTGTCCACACGTTTGTCCACACGTTTGTCCACACGGCCGCCGCTGGAACGGACCCGTCTCACCTGGGGCAGGAGCCGACGGCGGCCGTGGCGGGGAGACGCGAAGCGGGGACGCAGGGAGCCCCGTGTGAGCTCGAGAGCAAGCCGCCCTTGCTGCTGCTGCTGCTGCCGGCTGCTGCTACTGCCTGAGACCGCTGCTGCTGCTGCTGTTGCCGAGGCTGCTACTGCTGCTGCTGTTGACGCCCCTGACCTTGGAAGTCGACGTCTCTCCTCCCCGTCTCCAGCCTCGGCGCGTTGCGCACCCGGGGGGGGGGGGGGGCAGCAGCAGCAGCAGCCCCTGAATGGATGAGAGAGATGTGGAAACAAAAAAAAATCCTTTGGGGGGGTGAGTGGGGCTGTAGGGGGTGAGAGATGGAGTGTGGGGAGGTGAGAGAGGAGAAGGAGGAGTGCGGGGTGAGTGAGTGAGAGAGACGCATTGGGAGAGGGAGGAGAGAGGGGGAGGTGAATTGTGTAACGTCACTGGAACTGTGTTTGCTTCGACTGGTGAACGAATTAAGAATTTGCAGATGCTGCGAGATGAGCCTTTTGATGGCACGTCTCTGTGTGTGCGAGTCGGCGTGGCTGTGTGTGTGAGTGACTCTGTGTGTGTGAGTAAGTCTGCGTGGCTGTGTGTGTGTGTGAGTCTGTGTGGCTGTGTGTGTGTAAGTCAGTGTGGCTGTGTGTGTGTGAGTCTGTGTGTGTGTGAGTCTGCGTGGCTGTGTGTGTGTGAGTGAGTCTGTATGTGTGTGTGAGTGAATCTGCGTGGCTGTGTGTGTGAGTGAGTCTGTGTGTGTGAGTGAGTCTGTGTGTGTGTGTGAGTGAGTCTGTGTGGCTGTGTGTGTGTGTGAGAGTCTGCGTGGCTGTGTGTGTGAGTGAGTCTGTGTGTGTGAGTGAGTCTGTGTTTGTGTGTGAGTGAGTCTGTGTGTGTGTGAGTGAGTCTGTGTGTGTGTGTGAGTGAGTCTGCGTGGCTGTGTGTGTGAGTGAGTCTGTGTGTGTGTGAGTGTGGCTGTGTGTGTGTGTGAGTGTGGCTGTGTGTGTGTGTGAGTCTGCGTGGCTATGTGTGTGAGTGAGTATGTGTGTGTGTGAGTGAGTCTGCATGGCTGTGTGTGTGAGTGAGTCTGTGTGTGTGTGAGTGTGGCTGTGTGTGTGTGTGAGTCTGCGTGGCTGTGTGAGTCTGTGTGTGTGTGAGTGAGTCTGTGTGTGTGTGAGTGGCTGTGTGTGTGTGAGTGGCTGTGTGTGTGTGAGTCTGTGTGGCTGTGTGTGTGAGTGAGTCTGTGTGTGTGTGAGTGAGTCTGTGTGGCTGTGTGTGTGAGTGAGTCTGTGTGGCTGTGTGTGTGTGAGTCTGTGTGTGTGAGTCAGTCTGCGTGGCTGTGTGTGTGCGAGTCTGTGTGTGTGTGAGTGAGTCTGTGTTTGTGTGAGTGTGGCTGTGTGTGTGTGTGTGAGTGAGTCTGTGTGTGTGTGTGAGTGAGTCTGTGTGGCTGTGTGTGTGAGTGAGTCTGTGTGGCTGTGTGTGTGTGTCTGTGTGTGTGAGTGAGTCTGTGTGGCTGTGTGTGTGTGTGTGAGTCTGTGTGGCTGTGTGTGTGTGAGTGAGTCTGTGTGGCTGTGTGTGTGTGAGTGAGTCTGTGTGGCTGTGTGTGTGTGAGTGAGTCTGTGTGTGTGAGTGAGTCTGTGTTTGTGTGTGAGTCTGTGTGGCTGTGTGTGTGAGTGAGTCTGTGTGTGTGTGAGTGTGGCTGTGTGTGTGTGTGAGTGTGGCTGTGTGTGTGTGTGTGAGTCTGCGTGGCTGTGTGTGTGAGTGAGTATGTGTGTGTGTGAGTGAGTCTGCATGGCTGTGTGTGTGAGTGAGTCTGTGTGTGTGTGAGTGTGGCTGTGTGTGTGTGTGAGTCTGCGTGGCTGTGTGAGTCTGTGTGTGTGTGAGTGAGTCTGTGTGTGTGTGAGTAGCTGTGTGTGTGAGTCTCTGGCTGTGTGTGTGTGAGTCTGTGTGGCTGTGTGTGTGAGTGAGTCTGTGTGTGTGTGAGTGAGTCTGTGTGGCTGTGTGTGTGTGAGTGAGTCTGTGTGGCTGTGTGTGTGAGTCAGTCTGTGTGGCTGTGTGTGTGAGTGAGTTTGTGTGGCTGTGTGTGTGTGAGTCTGTGTGAGTCAGTCTGCGTGGCTGTGTGTGTGTGTGCGAGTCTGTGTGTGTGTGAGTGAGTCTGTGTGGCTGTGTGTGTGTGTGAGTCTCTGGCTGTGTGTGTGAGTGAATCTGTGTGTGTGTGAGTGAGTCTGTGTGGCTGTGTGTGTGAGTGAGTCTGTGTGGCTGTGTGTGTGTGTGTGAGTCTGTGTGTGTGAGTGAGTCTGTGTGGCTGTGTGTGTGAGTGAGTCTGTGTGTGTGAGTGAGTCTGTGTGGCTGTGTGTGTGTGAGTGAGTCTGTGTGGCTGTGTGTGAGTGAGTCTGTGTGGCTGTGTGTGTGAGTGAGTCTGTGTGTGTGAGTGAGTCTGTGTTTGTGTGTGAGTCTGTGTGGCTGTGTGTGTGTGAGTGAGTCTGTGTGTGTGAGTGAGTCTGTGTGGCTGTGTGTGTGAGTGAGTCTGTGTGGCTGTGTGTGTGTGAGTGAGTCTGTGTGTGTGAGTGAGTCTGTGTGGCTGTGTGTGTGTGTGAGTCTGTGTGGCTGTGTGTGTGTGAGTCTCTGTGGCTGTGTGTGTGTGAGTCTCTGGCTGTGTGTGTGAGTCTCTGTGTGTGTGTGTGAGTCTGTGTGGCTGTGTGTGTGTGAGTCTCTGGCTGTGTGTGTGAGTGAGTCTGTGTGGCTGTGTTTGTGTGTGGATATGTGTGTGTGAGTGAGTCTGTGTGGCTGTGTGTGTGTGTGAGTCTACGTGGCTGTGTGTGTGTGAGTCTGCGTGGCTGTGCGTGTGTGTGGCTGTGTGTGTGTGAGTGAGTCTGTGTGGCTGTGTGTGTGTGAGTGAGTCTGTGTGGCTGTGTGTGTGTGTGAGTCTGTGTGTGTGTGTGAGTCTCTGGATGTGTGTGTGAGTCTGTGTGTGTGTGTGAGTCGGTGTCGCTGTGTGTGTGTGAGTGAGTCTGTGTGGCTGTGTGTGTGTGGGTCTGTGTGGCTGTGTGTGTGTGAGTGAGTCTGTGTGGCTGTGTGTGTGTGTGAGTGAGTCTGTGTGGCTGTGTGTGTGAGTGAGTCTGTGTGGCTGTGTGTGTGAGTGAGTCTGTGTGGCTGTGTGTGTGTGTGTGTGAGTCTGTGTGTGTGAGTCAGTCTGCGTGGCTGTGTGTGTGTGCGAGTCTGTGTGTGTGTGAGTGAGTCTGTGTGGCTGTGTGTGTGTGTGAGTCTCTGGCTGTGTGTGTGAGTGAGTCTGTGTGTGTGTGTGAGTGAGTCTGTGTGGCTGTGTGTGTGAGTGAGTCTGTGTGTGTGTGAGTGAGTCTGTGTGGCTGTGTGTATGTGAGTGAGCCTGTGTGTGTGAGTGAGTCTGTGTGGCTGTGTGTGTGTGTGAGTCTGTGTGGCTGTGTGTGTGAGTGAGTCTGTGTGGCTGTGTGTGTGTGAGTCGGTGTGGCTTTGTGTGTGTGAGTCTGTGTGGCTGTGTGTGTGTGAGTCTGTGTGGCTGTATGTGTGTGAGTCTGTGTGGCTGTGTGTGTGAGTGAGTCTGTGTGGCTGTGTGTGTGTGTGGATATGTGTGTGTGAGTGAGTCTGTGTGGCTGTGTGTGTGTGTGAGTCTACGTGGCTGTGTGTGTGTGAGTCTGCGTGGCTGTGCGTGTGTGTGGCTGTGTGTGTGTGTGAGTGAGTCTGTGTGGCTGTGTGTGTGTGTGAGTCTGTGTGTGTGAGTGAGTGTGGATGTGTGTGTGTGAGTCTGTGTGTGTGTGTGAGTCTGTGTGGCTGTGTGTGTGTGAGTGAGTCTGTGTGGCTGTGTGTGTGTGGGTCTGTGTGGCTGTGTGTGTGTGTGTGTAGCGGCTATCGCACTGTGTCACAAACCCGGCGGGCCGAGTTCGATACCCCACTAACAGCCAACACCAGCTGCGAATGTGTGAACCGGTCCTAAGCCTCCCCTAGGTCAACTCAGCCTTAAAGTTGCGTATTATATATACGTGGTGCAGTGTATAAACATCAGCACTGGGGAGACAAAGGCGGCCGGGCGTGGTGTTAACCACACAATGCCCACGTGTCCCTTGCCGACCTTCATAGGTGCTCGCTAACAGCACTTGCCCCAACATCCAGCGTAGGCTACACGCGAGGGATTTTTGTCTTTGTGTATGTGTGAGCAGATATGATGTTGTGTGTGTGTGTGTGCAGTCCTTGATCTTAGCCGGAACAGTCCGGGAACGCCGTTGCTGTCATCATTTTGGCACCGATTCACATCCACGTCGCTCTACATATGCCCTCGATATGCATGAACCTGTTTCACGGGCTTACAGGAACGGAAGGTGCAATGATACGGGATGATCATGGATTTATACTCTTAGGTTTTTCGGTAAAGTCACGTAGGTAAAAAGTTAAAAAATAAAAATAATAGAAATAATAGAAATCAAATAATTTATTTCTATTTTTTTTCTATTATGTTTTATTATTTATTTTTTCCCCTACGTGACTTTACCGAAAAACCTAAGAGTATGAATCCTTGCAGTCACGAAAGCTTCAAATCTCGGATGATCATGGAGTTGCCTTGCACTACCCGAGTTGGTAGTGGCAGTGCCTTACGCCGATAATACCCACTCCAAGTGAGCCTGAGTCAACGCTCTGGAAAATATCGAGTGAGAACGTGAGCCCTGTGCGAGTGGTAAACAACAACTGTGTGTGTGTGCGTCACGGTGTGTGTGTGTATCAGAGAATGAGGAGGCTTACCGCCAGAGGTGGGACAAAGTCATTGTTATGCAAGTCCAAGTCGAGTCTGAAGTCATCAAATTCATGACTCGAGTCTGACTCGAGTCCAAGTCACATGACTCGAGTCCGCACCTCAGAGGTGGGACAAAGTCATTGTTATGCAAGTCCAAGTCGAGTCTGAAGTCATCAAATTCATGACTCGAGTCTGACTCGAGTCCAAGTCACATGACTCGAGTCCACACCTCTGCTTACCGCAGCATTCGCTCGGAGGTTTGGAGAGCCGTGAGGCGCTGCAAGCATAGGTGGTAGTCGCGGGTTGCTGAGGAGATGGAGTCTACCTCAGTTGCCCGCGATCACAAATCCCTATTTAACTCCATCAAAAAAGTAACCTGCAGCGCCACACCTATTACCATCATTAGGGGGAAAAACGATGATCCAATCTCCGACCCCCGAGAACAGGTTTGCAGATTTGTTGAGCATTTCTGTGAGGCCCTGGGGGATGGGGAATCCCTCAGCCAGGAAAACATCGTGGCACG